GACTGCTAAAAAAAATATGGCCATTTCTAAATTTGAGACAAGATACTATACTTCTGTTGCTCTGAGTTCCAAGCCAATAGGACACAAGTGGTGTTATGATAAATATGGCTCTGGCTGGCCCAACACCAGCCAATTTGATACTGGGAAGTATAGCCCATTGCAATGTATCAGAATTTTTCTCATTGATCTAACTTCCAAACAGAAAAATATTGGTTACTGTAGGTTACCACATTTGGCACATTGTTTTTGCTGTCGCATAGCCTTACTGAACAAGCCTGTATGTTTCTCTTATGAAAGATGACATGGCCATTGATTTGTTAGTAAGGGGCAGACCCTCATCTTAAATCTGTGGTCACCTTTTATAATTGATGTTGTTTTATAATATGTGTTTGCTGTTTATTTGTATTTCCATTTTATTTCATTTTCCAAAGCTGCTTTCTGGAAGTCCAGCTGATATTGGCACCAGTATTCCTCAAAACTCTGGCTGTGAGGATGCTCCCACTGCATCCCATGGACTTCTCAAACTCTTCCAGGGGGAACGTTCAGAAGAAGGACCAAAATGGGTAATGTTTATTTGTGAAATGATTTTTTTTCCCAAAGGGCACTTGCCACTTTCTTCTAAAGCAGAACACTAGGCATTATTTAACCTTGTTCCCCCCTACTCCCTCTGCTGGTAAAGTTTTATAAGGCTTGTTTTTCTAGCTAATGATCTAATACAGATGAGTACTTACCTTACGACATTGTCCTGGAGCAGTTTTTTATTCAGTTCCTCTGCTCTCTAGCACCAGAATATGAGCTGGCACTCCTACATCGTCACATATAATGCAAGACCAGTCGTGGCTGCTGGTCCTGCATTGTACGTGATGACGCGGGCAAGAGAGGAATACATATAATAACCAGCACCACTGAATGTACAAGAATTGAGGAAATAAATAGACCAATTACACAAGGAAGGACTTTTCCCCAAAGCAATGTTCTACAGCGCTAAAGTTGTAAAAATAAATATTCTTTATTGGATTCACAAAAGACATATCACAAGGAGCACATACTCCATGCACAAATTAAAAACATTTTAAATGAAAACCCATATAGAAACCCTGGTCTGCAATAAAGCATATCAATAGCATGTATAATGCCTCTAAGACGTCCTGAGTCTAAAATGATAACCTAGGTAAAGAATAAGCTGGTGCCTCCCTTGGTAGCTGTAAATGAAAAACATTTGGCGGTGCAGCTTGTGTTGAGTGTCTCTACAAGTATTGAGGCTCCAATCGCTTCATCAGGAACATTGTACCTGATGATGTTGGCAAGAGTAGTGGTGTGAAGATCAATTGGAGACCAGCAAGAAGAAGTATTTGGGGATCAGAAGTCACGACCGGAGTCGGCTGACGGGAAGGCTGTGGAACCTTGAATTGAGGTAAGTATTCCTATGCATTAGATCATCCCCTTGCAAAATGAGTGCTATATCATCATGTGGGGAGGGGCAATGTTAATTTTTTTATTTGTGCCCTGCGGCTAAAAGTTTGCATAAAACCAGTGATAAGAAAAGCTGTTATCACTCTATAAAGCTACTAAACTGTAACCCTTTTAGTTTGGCTTACTTGATTTTGAATTGGAGTCTTTTCCCAGACTACGAGACAGCCATTCCTCTGTTCATCATCCAGAACCATTTGGTGTTTTTTATGTTGGCAGGCCTACTCAGTTCAGCCTATATCTGAATTGAATGACATATGGGTAATCTAGGAAGTAGAGCTAAAACTGAATATATGCAGAGTGCATAGTTCACTGAACATTTATTTCCGCAGCGTTACAGCTGCACTATCACAGCTTTACAGTAGACAATGATTTTCCAAAATGAATGGTCTTTAATAACATGGGGGCATCTGTATGAAAACTGGACATGGAACATTGCCCCCTTTCATATTGCTTTGTGTTATTAAGCAGATGTTTTGAATTTTCTTAGACAAAGGAGAAAATGAAGGAGGAATCTTGGAACATTCACTTCTTTGAGTATGGTCGAGGAATGTGTATGTATCGAACATCAAAGACCCGAGACTTGGTATTAAAGGGCATTCCAGAGAATCTGCGAGGAGAACTTTGGCTCTTATTTTCCGGTAAATCTGATGCAGTGTATTGTTGGATCTTTAGGATTGCATATTAAATGGAGTAGAATAAGCCACTGTGACTATGACTACTATGAGGGCAGGTTGCAGACCTAATGCTGCCCTATTGTATATAATAGAAAGGCTGTTAATTTACAAAACTGAAAGTTCACTTTGAAAAATGAATTTTGATAGGTAAGGTGAACCTGTGTTTACTTTCAATTCCCAATCATGATTGAGGGATAATGCCGAAAGAGCCATGTTTCGGCCGATACATCGGCGCATCCCAGGTTTCTTTTCTCCCCGCTGGGAGACAAGAAACATGTAGGGGTACACCGGTTTCTCATTCCAACATCTCTAGGTAGCTCAGGCAGACCAATCATCCATGCTTATGGTCTTAAGGATCGGGTTCCATCCATTGTTGTCAAAGCACACTTGACTTGATCTGTGAGTGCTTCTTGGGCTTTAGATATCCTGAAAATGAAGTCATTAGCCTCAACTTCTACTTATTTAGTAAATCAATCTCAAAATGCGCTTGTCAACAGTTCATTTAGGGCTGTATTTGCCACTTGTGGGCCAGTGGCTATTGCTCAAGGGATAGAGAAGGCTGCACCAAGACTCCAAAATTAGAAAACCTTTTGCTTTGTTTGTTTCCCTGTTCTGTCCACTTCTGGACAGTTGTGGTTAAAGTCGTAATAGACCCTCAAACTTTTCTCAGTAATAAATCCGGATCAGACAAATATACATTGCCCAGCAAAGAGTTTCCTTTTAAATGTTTGCCCAAGCACTTAGTCATGATGTTTCCAAACAACTGGCACCAACTATCTAAGCTTAGTTTGCCAGAACTTTCTGTCAATTACAAGATCACAAGGGACAGCATAGTCTCCAGCAGCTGTCCATCTACTAGTTTGGACAAGAAAGAAGGGTGGATGGAGGAGCAGGAAGCAGGGGAGTGGCTTGTCTTGCCGTGCCTGTGAGTTTGTGGAAACGCACAAAGCTTACTAGCACACAGAAGGGTGGCTCCATAGGACCCTGCAAGGGAAAGGATATGCCCTAAAACAGGATACCAGGCCACTGCTCAGTGGGCCAACTGATCATGCATAAAGAACCGCATCCATTGTAAATGATTTAATCATAGCTTAAGCAGTTTTACATTTAAATACTTTTGCACATTCTAGCAGTAGGTTTTCTGTTTGTGTTATGGGTCTTTTTTATCCTTAAATATAAGATTTATGTTTAAAGCATAAGGTTTAATATGTGTTTTGTTTTTTTTAATTTGTCTTTTAGGAGCATCAAATGAAATGGCAACTCATCCTGGTTATTATGCTGACCTAGTGGAGAAGTCTACGGGAAAATGCAACCTTGCGACAGATGAGATTGAGCGTGACCTCCACCGCTCCATGCCTGAACACCCTGCATTCCAGAACGAGCTGGGTATAGCAGCTCTCCGCCGCGTGCTCACAGCATACGCCTTCCGCAACCCCAACATTGGATACTGCCAGGTATTGCCTAGCTTCTTACTCACATAAGTGTACATTAAGAATAACAAGTGCCTTTCCAGATTAGTAGCATTCCTGTAAAACTGTTTACTGTTAAACATTAAGATAAAAAATAAATAAACAGTGCTGTAACACTATTACAGGCCAGTGTAATTCAAGTTGAGTATATGATTAAAAAAATGCATAAGTGGAGATTCCCTTGTCAGAACAATAAGTAGGTCCAGAGATATAGGTGGCTGAATTAATGGCCAGGCTTGCTTTTTCTGTAAGCCGTGCTTGATCCTGGCCTCCAAGGGTAGGTGCGGGGTCAAACAACTGTTACGGGAAACGTCAAACAAGCAAACCATTTTAGCTGCCTTTATCTATAACTTACTCCTGCACCCGCCGATTCATTGAATCTGCTCTTTTGCATAGCAAAGTTGCCAATGGAATCGTCCCATCCCATGTGTGTTGGCTGCCTTCATTTCCCACTGCGTGCTGTGGTTCCATCCAACTGCCACTTTTTTTACTAATGTGTCCTGTGATACAACTTTACCTTTTGTGAAGTTATCCTTTATAAAACCTCCCATCAGCCTGAGTGCAACCACCTGAGAAAATACCTTGTCCCTAATCAAGTCGTTCAGTTCCCCTGACAAGGTCCCAAACGGCTCTTTTTCATAATGTGCACGCATGCTGCTGCCTTATTCATTTCTATGGGTAAGCTGTTTTTAGTGCATCCTCCAGCGTCCTCTCAGTGTATGGCTTAGCTATAAAAATGATGTGCACATGCAGTACGAAGGGAAGCCGGTCAGGACCTTGTCAGAGGAAAGATCAGCTCCATCGTGTAGGAAGGTAAGTATTATCCCAGGTGGGATGTGTACAGGGGGTTGGGGGATTTTCTAAAAGGACAGGCTCAGTGAAGGTAATGTCCTTTTGTAAAGCATCTGGTAAAATGCTTATTTACGTTCAGCGCTGCAATGGAGAGATCTGCTGTTTTCATGTCCATCTGAATTACTGCTTTAAGTAGCAGGGCAGGGAACATGGCTGTAAAACTGACTACAGAAGATACAGACAAAGAGTACCATAGTCAAGGCATCCTGTAACTTCCAGCAACCATCCAAGGAAAGTAAACTGACCACGCCAACACGAATCTCCTGCCATGCTTGGCATGGTCACATTGCAACAGCACAAAAGGGTGACTGTGAGGATCATCCTGTCATTCTCCACACACACTATTGAATAAAAAGATAAAAGGCTTTGTTTTTTAAAGATATACATAGGCACACAGACACATACATGCAATTAATTTTGGAGTAACCTACACATTAGGAGTGCAATGCTGGAGGTAAAGAAAGCTTTAGGCTGTGATGTTAACAAACTGGATTCCATGTAGAATTTTAACCCCAGCTCTGCCCCTCCAGGTCACTCTGCAGTGTCCAGGGGGTGTTGCTGTTATGAATAATAATGAATGTGGGATAGAGCTCAGAGAGAGAGCTAAGTTTCCACAGAGAAGCTTGTGCATGAGGGAAGCATAGCATTGTGGTAAATGTAGATTTCTATGCCCTACATTGTAGTTCCCACTATGTACAGCAGCCTGCAATTTACACACACTGCCTGCAGAGCACAGAGGCGGCCATTTCAGAAGAAGCCATGAGGAGACCGCTAACATAAAAGTAGATTTCTGTGTTCATATACAGCAACTGCATGTGTTGGCTTCATGTACACTCAGTGTACAATGCTGTAATATGTTTAAAAAAAAATACCTCTGCAAAGGTGGAAATGGGCTTTAAATATTACTACAAATTCTGTTTTGTTTTTTCCAAATCATAGGTGCTGTGTACTCTTTTCTTCTAGCTAGCGAAATAATGGTGGTCATGCCGCTGCACTGCTGCTGCACGGCAGAGTTTGCACTGCTCGTACTCCTGGTAATCACCTGTGCAAAGGTGCAGGTTAGCCAATTTGAGGCTACTGCTGCTCACAGTTGCTTGGCTTTCTTTTCTGCAACATAGTCTGAGCTTAGAAGTCCATTGAAAGCAAACCAATTACAAAGGCCAAGCTAATCTGCTCCTAAAGAAAAGCCAAGTGGCCCTGAGAAAGGTAGTATCCTCAGACCAGTGCCATTCAAAAATCTGATTGCAGCATGACTCCAGGTGGCCAGGAAAAGTTTGAGGGTGTAAAATGGCTAGTAGTAAACCTCTTACATATTTCACAGAGCTGTGATGTATGTGGTATTAGATCTTTTACCATTATCTCATATTCTCTATAACAACAAAATACTTTTTTTTTTTGTGTAGGCCATGAATATAGTGACCTCAGTTCTGCTACTGTACTCTAATGAGGAAGAAGCGTTCTGGTTGTTGGTGTCACTGTGTGAGCGAATGCTGCCAGATTATTACAATACACGGGTAGTTGGTAAGTCTTGACAAACATCCATCTGTTTCAAGTTTGTTTCTATTTTCCTTTTAGGAAGTTCCATAGAACGTGATTTGTTTTTCTTGCTAATAATTGTATTAAAACATGTATGTTTATAGAGTGATGTAAGAGTGACAAGTGACCATAACACTGTTTTGTAGTTTAGAGTCAATGCAGGTCTTATGAATAAACTGGCAATACTGAATAGTAGGGATGCACCGATACTAGTATTGGTGCTGATACCGGGTATTTGGGCAAGTACTCACCCAAATGCTTCGATATTTACCTCCGTTACAGTCAGTGCCGAGGGAGCATGGAGCCGGCTTCCTTTCGAATCAGGCAGTGGGTTAAGATCCACCTCCTGGCTTCCTGATTGGCTAGGAAGCCGGCTTCACGTGTTTGCTTCACGTGGCTGCTAAGCAGCCTGGCTTCCTAACCAATCAGGAAGCCAGGCGGCATGTAATGACCTGCCTCCCGGCTTCCTGATTGGTCAGGAAGCCAAGCTGCCTAGCAACAAGTGAAGCCCACTTCCTAGCCAATCGGGAAGCCAGGCGGCACGTCATGACCCGCTTCCCGGCTTTCTGATTTGTCAGGAAGCCAGGCAGTCTCTGAAGCCCCTGTCTCGCTAGAACACTGGCTTCACAGGCAATCAGAAGGCCGGGCGATGGGTCATGATCCGCCGCTCGACTTCCTGATAATTAGGGCACAAGGCGGGTACCGGAAAAAAAATATCGGTACTCGATACCGGAAAACCGGTATTGGTGCATCCCTACTGAATAGTCATCAACAGAGAACTTTTGAATGTCATAGTTACAATATTTTGTACTGAAAGGAAGCTTTTGGCTCCCTTGAAAAACCTACTAAAAAGAACAATGATACAAAAATGTGTAGAAATAAATTATTTAAAGTATAATTTAGTAGTTCTAGTTACATGATGCAGCAACTCCAAAATTCAGAAAATGTAGTTCTGAGGCAGTGTATTTCAAGCTGGCATACAGCGCCTACTAGTTACATCACTGCAGTATCCTGGATATCTATTCCTAGCGGCCTTTGCAACTCACAAGATGTGGGTGAGAGTTTGGGCAGAACAGCTAATAGCAGTACTGCCCATGTTACCTTCTCAGTCAATGAGAAAAGGTTTATTTCTAAATAATGATCCTTTGCGGCCGCCCGAGAATCTTCAGATCTTCGGACGGGAGTGCGCTGTGGAGACACAGGTACGTTTTAAAGTTATGTTTTTGCAGATATCTAGTGTTTGCTAGCAGGCTTTTATTTTGCCCTGTACTTTAGATTTAGGTTGTCATAAAGGCCCTCATGCAAGCAAATGCTGGCTCTTTTGATTCAGAGTTTCCGTTCACTGGGTTCTTTCTGACATAAACACTTCAGTGTTGTGTTGTATGACACTTTGCAGGTTTCGGGCAGGTACACTTCCAGCCACACATAAAATGTATAGCCAGCAGCAGTGTGGAGTGACAACTAATACAACATTTGCATTGGTGACCAATACCTCCTCTCTGTTGGTTTTCCAGGGGCCTTGGTGGACCAGGGAGTGTTTGAAGAGCTGACGCGGGAGTTCCTACCTCACTTGTCTGAGAGGATGCAAGAGCTTGGAGTAATCTCCACCATTTCTCTCTCCTGGTTCCTCACGCTGTTCCTCAGTGTCATGCCATTTGAGAGTGCGGTAGTGGTGGTTGACTGTTTTTTCTACGAAGGCATCAAGCTGATTCTGCAGCTGTCATTGGCTGTGCTAGAGGCAAACATGGATGCTCTGCTAAACTCCAGTGATGAAGGGGAAGCAATGACTATACTTGGAAGGTAATAAAGCCATAATTTTAAAGCAGATTTGATAGCTTGTATTTCACAATAACTTGAACAATATCTGTAGCATGTTACTGCAGTTTAATAAGAAATGTTATTGCTTGTGTATTGGGAGTTCCACCAGGAAGGTGTAAACAATAATTGTACTTACAAAAATACACACACCTTGGCTGTTCAATATATCAAGGAATACCGAGCAGCTTTGCAAGTTGAACTTTTCCTTTCTTTGTGCCTTGAATATTGCTATCACAGTTCAGATCAGTGTAAACATTACTTTATTTACATTCCGCTTGTCTTCAGCATTCACTGTAACTGTTGACAAGGAGTAAGAAACAGGATGGTATCTGCTCTACATACATATTTGTTTCAGGTACCTCACTGCCATGAGCCATAAATACATTTTTCTATGTTGCAATGCATGTATGTAATTGTTGGAGATCACAAAGTGCTAGAAGCAAGAAGCCCCTATATACCACAGCTTCCCACATAATACAATATTAGAATAAACTCTATAAATGTAAGTGTCCTCATGACCTACTGTTATACCACTGGTACAGAAACCTTATAAAATAAGGATGCTGTGTGAACTTATTAGCATTGTCTTGTATACCTGTGATAATAAAACTCCTGTTTTCCTCTAGATATCTTGACAATGTGGTGAATAAGCAAAGTGTGTCACCGCCAATCCCTCACTTGCATGCTCTACTCACCAGTGGTGATGAGCCTTCAGTTGAAATTGACATTTTTGATCTCATCAAAGCAACTTATGAGGTAAAGCCAGCTATTTTCTTTTTTAGCACATTCAGTGATTTATGGTACAGTCCCCTCTCATAAACACGAGACAGACAGAACCTGTCTGCCCCTCTTCTCTGTATACCCTCTTTTTCCCACCAACCATCATTCTTAAAGGAGAACTATGAGGTCAGTGCTTTTCGCTCACCTCATAGTTCTAGCCGACCTGTGACAATGAGACTATCACAGGTCGGCTCAGTAGATCGGGAAGTGAGCGAACACATACCGGCGTTCGCTCACCTCTCGATCCTGTCACGGCTCTCTGCCGTGACAGGGGAGGGGCTGGCTACCCCACTCTGATCCTCCAGCGCTGACTGGCGGAACAGACGGGGGAGGGGGCGGGTACAGCTGGCTCTGCCTCTAGATAGGCAGAGCCAGCTGTCACTCACGCAGCTGGGTGGCTGTAGCTCGCGGTATACTGAGCTTAGGGTGACGGGAGTACGCTAGTTTGTGTCCTCCCATTACCCCAAGGAGAACTATGGGGAAAGCCCTAACCCCATAGATCTCCTTTAAGCGCCTCACCTTTTTTTAACTTAAATACCTTTTTACATATTTAGATTTTTTGCATAAATTGCTATCTTTTGTTTCTAGAAGTTCAGCAATCTAAGAGCTGATGACATTGAGCAAATGCGATTCAAGCACAGATTGAAAGTCATACAATCTTTGGAGGACTCTGCCAAGAGAAGTGTGGTAAGAATGAATAGATTGTTAATTTGTGTTGCAAGGCAAGTGTTTGAGCCATGTACAGAAATCTCACTTTCTATTGCAAGTGTCACAGCATTATATATTACCCTTGTCTCTTTTCTGCTGTTTAGGTAAGATCCATTTCTACTGACCTCGGCTTCTCCATGGAAGAACTGGAAGATCTGTATGTCCTCTTCAAGGTTAGTGTTAGTAGTAGTTTTGTTGTTGGTTTTTTTTGTGTTACATTATAACAGGGCGCCCACAATTTTTCCTCTGGAAATCTACTTTCAAATGACGAGCTCAATGAGATCTATCAACGAAAAAACACCTACATTCAGGGGCGGGATGGGGCGTGGCGGTGCATTGTAGGCAATGGCAGTCCTCCCATTACCCCCGCCCACAGTGCGATCGCCTGCACCCGGAACCCAGGCACATTAGCGCCTGCGTTCCAGTCCAGTGCGATCCGCAAAAATGCTGCAAGCACTATTTTTGCAGATCGCACTGGACTGGAATGCAGGCACTAATGTTCCTGCGTTCCAGGTGCGGGCGATCGTACTGTGGGCGGGGGGCATGCCTGCGGTGCCATTGACTTCAATACAACCCCACACCCCCGAACGCAGGGAGTTGGCCGGCTTACATTCCAGTGCGTAGAGGCCCTGGCGTCTTATCCTCCCGTTTGCTTCTAAAAACTACTGCTAGGTTCTGATTATACCTGAAGACCAACTCCAGACGTCAATTATTTTCAGTTCTGGATAAAGAGGGAAAGGGAACTGTCAACTGTTAATTGCTGGGTTCCCGTTTGGGAGAATGTCCTGTCTGTTTCATGTGTGTCCTGCAGAACAGGAACTGAGGTAAAATCTCCACAGTGAGACACAAAAAGCAATAAAACAATTTTCTTTATGAAAACACAGGAATGCAGTAAATCTTAGACAATTGGGTTATACTGCCATCTACAGGAGGTTTGGACACTGGCAAGCAAAAGATGTTAAGCCAGCCCCCATATTTTCCCGCCTCCTAGTGCCATGCTTTGCTAGTGTCCTAGGAAGTTGGACCTCTGTTCCTCAGCTCTGCTGTAAAACTCTTTTGCTAGTCCTTGTTTTTATTTTTTTTGTCTTCAACCAGGAATATTAGATATTTTTCTCTTTGGTAACTTCAACCAGGACTTCAGAAAACACTGCTAAAACTAGTCTACACAGTAGCTATCCAGACTGGGGTATCCTAAGCAACAGCTTTGGGAATATCCTCAATAGGGAAGGAAACTACAAACCTGACAGAAGTTTTAACCCTCTTTGCATGAAATAATTAGATATTGAATGCCTTTATTTCTCAGGAATCGTTATTTTATCACCTGACATTGCTCCATTTTTTGCTTTGCTCAGTAGACACTTCAGAGATCCTCACTGGTAAGCTCCCAACTCTGGATAAACATTATTTTTTAAATGGAATTTATAAGGGTTAGAGCCTCAGGCTTTTATTTCTGTCTGTGTCCCTGTGGAGAAAATGTCCCTTTATTCCTTTTCTGTCTGAGGCCCAAGGCCTGGAAGGCAATCTATCCCAATAGGTACACGGAAAGCAATAAAAACTTTAAGTTCTTCAACTTTTTACATCTTGTTAACTGTGCCATTGTTATTTCATGTCTTTTTAAGGGAATTGAATGTTTTATTCAGAAAATATATAAAGTAAGTTAAAAAGAATTCTAGTCTCAACTAGGGATGCGCCGATAGCGGTTTTCCGGTATTGAGTAAGAGTACCGATTATTTATCTTTCGGTACTCGCCGATACTGAGTACCGGTACTTTCGGTAGCATGGAGCCAGCTTCCCGGGCAATCAGGAAGCCGGGCAGCTTCTTGATTTCCCGGTAAACCGGATCCATGCTCTTTGGCCGACTCGATGCTGATTGGCCAGGAAGCCGGCTTCCCAGCCAATCGGAAAGCCGGGAGGCGGGTCTTTAACTGTGGCCCAGCTTCTTAATTGGCCAGGAAGCCGGCTACATGCTGTTTGACCGGCTCCATGCTGATTGGCTGGGAAGCCGGCTTCATAGCCAATTAGCATTGAGTCGGGCAAACAGAAGTTCTGGTATCGGGGGGTAAGTATCAGGAGTATTTGGGTGAGTACGAGTACTCGCCCAAATACTCTGTATCGCCATCCATACTACGATCGGTATCGATGCATCCCTGTTCTCAGCCCAGGTCTCAAAGGTTAATTCAGGGTGTGCAGCTTTCTTGCATACTTTTGCATATAACACAATAGGCATTGTATTTTTTACATGAGGATTTTCTTGTAATGTAATCTTGTATATTTTCCACGCAGGCTCAGCATTTAATGAGCTGTTACTGGGGTGGGAACCGTGCATCCAGCAATCGCCATGACCCCAGCTTGCCTTACCTGGAGCAATACCGCATTGATCTGGACCAGTTCCAGGAGTTGTTTTCTCAGCTCACTCCATGGTCCTTTGGACCTCACGCCACCATACTAGCAACACGGATTTTCCGCTTGTTGGACAGCAACAAGGACTCGTTAATAAACTTTAAGGAATTTGTCACTGGACTAGGTATTTAATCAAAGAAATATCTGTCATACATTTCTAGGGATTGTTGTTCTATTCAGTAAAGTGAAAACTGGGAAATAGTGAATAGTTCATTGCAGTTGGCAGATTAAGAAAGGATTCTGCATTCTCCTCCAGCGGCTTATAAACCTGGTTCTCCCATTATCTATTGTTAATATGGAGACGCAGTTTGGCAGGTTAAGCTTGTAGTTGTGCTTATTGGAGGTCCTGTGACAAGTCTTAATGTGCGTAGGGAGACCAGAGGATGTTTGTCTAATCCAGTCTCTCACCATTTTTGGGGGGAATGTTCATATCTCTGTAAGCCCTAGCTGACCACGGCAGACGTCTACTGCCCAGACATTTTTAGTGGATAAGCTGTGATGGATTTATCACAGCCGATTTGATTTTCCCTCCTCCAAAAGGGATGTCTGCTAACTGCTCCTGTTCTGCATACATGGCCAGCTTAAGGGTGAGCTTCTAAAAAGAAATGCATCACGATTGGGCATTTTATGTAATGCATTTTGGAGCCTGATAACTAGCACTTTCATGAATTATCAATGCTCCATCTGACATGATATTGACTCTTTGCAAATTAATCATTTTGTTAAACTTTGTTCATTCAATAAAATTGTCCCAATATAATCAGGTATAAGTTACACCTACATGCAATAGTTCTGTTAGACCTTCAGTTTTGGTGCCATGGTCCTAAGCCAAGTATGGAAAGGGATATTTTCACAGACAGATTTACCCTTCAAATGCTCACTAATCTTACTAATTATGTTGATATGTCATCCGCTTAAATATCTAATTGCAAGGTTCTGACCAACTGCAATAGGAACAAATTTGTAGTGCAGTATGCCTTATGGTTATAGAGCTTTGCTACAGCCATGTTTTGACAACTTGGGAAATTGGGATTTTTGTTATTACTTCAATTATTAAATTCGCACTCTTTTGCTTTGTTAGGTGGAATGTATCATGGCGACATGACAGATAAGCTGAAATTTCTCTATAAATTACATCTACCCCCTGGTAAGTAATACAAATTCATGTTCAGGCACATGCTGAGAATCTGTTGACTGCACCCATCGAAAGGAGCTATGTCATGAGCTGAGCTGTATGAGAATTATTTTGTAAGATAATCATCCTACTGCAGAAGCAGCATTAGGAAGTGTTAAAAACACTGCAACCAGATTCGCTGAATGTGATTGTGCAGAGACGCAGGACTCCTTATTACGGCCATACCGCATTACACATTTATAAAATGCAGCGATATGTTTAGTGCTTCACTGGCTTCAGAAAGCTAGTGGATCATTATTATAATAAATGTAATTTAATAAAGAAGCTTTGCACTCTCTGTTATAACTTGGCTGCATAACAGACCACTTCTTCAGTTTCGCCTGTCTCCTTACAAAACAGTGAGACTTCCGAACAATCATAGCAAAGTTAGCTGTCAATTAAAATATGAAGGTCCTCCACAGGTGTAGGCTTCACCCTCCATGGAATCATGAAAAATGGAGAAAATCGGAGAGAGAGCTGATTTTGAGGTTCTGTGCACATCTTACAAACAGCAATTTGGGCAAACCACGAGTTGGCTTTAAGTCAATAGAAATGTGTTATTTGTAGATTGCCATTCCTGACATGTTTTTCTAAATATGCCATTTTCTTGGCGGTCTCTGGCTTCAATATTTTCTTAGTCACGGATTCTGAGAGGATCAGAAGTTCTGACCTCACTTACTGCAAGCTCATTCTGGGTCAGTGATTCAGAAAGTGTTAAAGCCAGAAACTGTCTGGCAACTAGTCTTATCAGAAAAGTGATGGCGGTAATAGAATACATATCTCTCGGTGCATTTTTTGTTGAAATTAGGTTGACGAAGTAGCAAAAAAATAAATACAAGTATTTTTGTATTTGCTGTAAAATCCTTTTCAAATTGAGGAACTCAGGAACAATTTACACAGTTGGGTTATACTGCTATCTACAGAAGAAATGGACACCGACAACGAAAAAGATTGGCATCCCAGTATAACTCAGTCCACAACCATCATCAGTTTTGTAGCAAAGTATATCCGAGAGCTTAAAAAAAAAACCTCATTGAACTCTAGGAAAAGGATTTTATGGCGAGTACAAAAATTCAATTTTCTTTCTGGTCGATTGGAGGACACAGGAATTCTTTAGACTGTCAGGACATCCAAAAACAGTCCAGCAGAGAGGGGAGGGCAACATAGTAAATAGGCTAACAGACCCAGAGAACTGTTGACTGCCTGCAGCTCAAATAATCACTTAAAGGACCTAATGGCCGAAGCTGGCATCAGATTAGTCCTGAATATCTGCCTGGTGGAACCTGGAGAACAAAAACAGAAGCGTGGATGGAGGAATCTGTGATATTTGTCTTGTACTTGAGCTGCGAAAAGTTAACATGGCACACTATGCAGGCTCTCTATGCAGCACAGAGACAGTGGCTGACTGGTCAGTTCTTCATTTAGCTTCATATATTGCGCGTGATTCCACACATTTATGCCTGCTACCACTCCCTGCGCGTTCACGTGCTCACAATAGAACTGCATCATCAATATCTAGTGAGAAAGAATAGGGGTGCTCAGTAAGCATGAGCAGAAATCAAATGTGGCCAACTTGCAAAGAAAAGTATAAGCAAGTTCAGAAGCAACAGGAGAAATTTTAACTTTCCACATAGTGGCCAGTCAGCTAACCAAGCCAACCTAGCATAGGCCTGCTGGGTACTGGCAACAGTGACTTGCAGAGATAGGGACAGGAAAACTGCCTCGGGTCTGGACCAGTAACATATAGTTAATTCATAACAAAATTGAAGACATACTGGCCTGACCTGAATAGTGTGTGATCACAGACAGGTAGTCCCTGCCAACTGCAGGACTGTCACAGAAGGAACACTAGTAATGAAGGAACTGACTCTATGGCGATCACACTGGACCCTGCAACAATAATTCTAGCTCCTTTTGTTCCTTATAACTATTTGCTACCACAATATTTGCAACTTCTGACATTCCCTACAACAGTGACTTTCAATCTTACTGAACCTAACAACTTCAAGCATACATTATTGTTCCCCACACTGCAGTAATAGCTTGGCTTATGTATTGCATATAACAGTACATTCTAACTCTTCAGTTTTTACTCTCTCACAACAGTATTCTGTTCAGCCCTTCGTTATTCCAACAAACTTAATTTATAGAGGCTCTCTTGTAGAAAAAGTTGTGCTAATCAGAAAACGAAGTATGGCAAAAACAGTACCTGTAAGGCTATCCCCTTCAAAAAGGTCTTACTTGTCACTCATCTAGGCACATCCCATCCAAGACACTGGACAGATGCTGAACACATTGGAGGAGATTATATCTTCTAGCTGGTCAGAGTTTGGGGTGGATACTGTATCCTCTTTTCAGCCTTCTAAACAGACCAGAAAATCAAAATTATAATGACAAGAATATTGGTTTACATGTGTCTGAAAGGAAATAATATTCATTTGTTATATTGCCAATAGGCTTTATAGACTTTGTATGGAAATTAGCGTTGGCTACCCTTGCTCCAACTACAAGTATTTTGTCCTGAAATATTCAGAGCCCACCTTCTGTAACCAATTTTGATTTACTAATAGTCACTAATATTCACTATGGTTTTACCTTCTTCACTGACTGCTAAGGTTATATTATTTGGGGTTTTCTGAAAGTGTAATCTGGTTGTCTCTCTCATTTACTTTAGCTCTGAGCTCAGAAGAAACAGAATCCGCCCTAGAAGCCACTAATTACTTCACTGAGGATGTAGCTCCTGAAAGTAAGTAGGCAACTTCTGAAATGGTTTTGGCAAGCTTGAAAGTAACATTGCACTTCAAGATGACACATGCTCGTGCTTGTTGGCTCCTAAAAGATATAAATGAAGTGAGCGTGTAAAGAAAACCGGCCAGGAAAAAGCATTTTTACCAATCCGAATCTCCACTCTTAGGCTGTTATACCAGTGTAGTCTCAGGGATAGGTGTATGTCCTGTTATTCATTTGTAGTCTCTCCTTTTTGGAGCAGAACTTTCATCAGCCTCAGTGTCATGCTGCATGAAGACTTATGTTTCTCCTGCCTGATCTCAAGGCTTTATCTATCTGATGGAGGAGGATAAAACTGCCAATTAACATACCAATTTGTTTTCTTTCATGTAATCTTTATGCATATACCTTCCAGGCCCCCCACCCTTTTAAAAGTCAACTGATGTTGCCCGCCTACAGTGACTTTGGTCACCTATGGCCATCTGGTGCACTGATGTCAGCAGTCTGGAATTATGTCCTCTGTTGCTAAGGTATGTTCCATCTTCAGAGTCTTCACGTGCTCTATTGGGCTTGGTTGTCTCCTCTAAACTTTTCAAGGAGGTTTTTACTATGGCCCAAATTCCCCAGAGATCACAAGCGAGCTCCTGTGCCTTTCCCCAGAAGATTCTGTATCTATTCTACTTGCGGCCTCTGAGCCATCAGCCACTAAGACTGATTTATGAGTCATTCCAGTCCCTTCCAGACAAACTTGCCACCGAGGACTTGCAGTCTCCTGCCATCACTGCCAAACGGAAAGAGACTATTTCAGCTCTTATTGACATTGTGCACACCACTTTAAAACTAGAGGATTAGACTGTTGCTTCTACCAGTGCTATTTACAATCTGAGGTCCTATAGAGCTCCTAAGACTACCAAGACTTTTCCGGTGCACCCACTGTTCCAAGTCTTCCTATGTGGAGCTTAGAAACACTCTAATACTATATTTGCTTCTCCCAAGCACTTATTAGCCTTGTACCAGGTTGAAGAGGGTTTTGTGAAAAAGTGCACTGCCCCCATTATCGATCAGGCAGTGTCCCGCCTTAATAAAGCGACCACCTTTCCAATTGAAGATGCACCTGTAAGGACCCCACCGATTAAGCAGTTGCCGGCCCTCTATAGGGCCCTGTTCTCAATGGCGGGGCTTGATCTTCATTCTGTCTTCAAAGTGACTTTGCTTTGCCAAACTCTGGCTGACTGATCAACATCTATTAGAAGGGATTTGGTTACTATTACAGTGTATACCTATGGTTGATGAACGTTTGGAGCAAATGGCCCCAGCCTTAAGCTACAGTTATGACAAGCTGCTGGATGGTTTCTCATCTAATTTCCTGCATGAGTCTCCTGTCAGTTCACATGAGGAGGACACGTCTTGGACTGCAGAACCAAAGTCCAAGAGGCATTTACTCCATGTCCTCCGAGGGACAACATCCTTTCAGGTCTATTCTGGATGCCATTATCAAGAAGGCCACAGATGGCAAAAACACCCATCTCCCTCAGTCATAAAAGCATTAGGTACAGTCTGGAAAGGCTCATCCCTCACTGCAGATCAAGAAAAGTAATTTTTGTTACAACATTCTTGCAACCTCCAAGCTCTGGTGGCTCCTTGGGTTCACAATACCCTGATCTATGCCTTTTCTACTAAGTTTCTTTGCAGTTTGCATCACAGGATTGAGATGGAGGGCATTCCAATGATCTTCACAGCTTTGGATTGGACCAGGCACATATAGTACACTGACCTGATGGCAGACACTCCTTGGACCAGTCCGGATATTCTGTCTCAGGGACCGATTTACCATCCTGCTTCAAGGTCACTGGCTTTTATGGCATGGCTGTTGAGGCCCAGGTTCTAAGAGATAGGGAATCTCTAAATCAGTTATTTCTATGATGTTAAAAGCTTAGAGGTCTACTGGTGTGAGTCCCGAGGCTTCCACCTTATGAGATTTTCCATGGAATGAATGCTCTCCTTGTTACAGCTAGGTCTGGACCAGCATTTGGCAACAATACGGGTCAGGTCTCTGCTCTTGCTGTTCTGCTTCAGGGACAATTGACTTCTCATTCCTTAATTTAGACCTTTGTTGAGGGTTTCTCCTATGCGGCTTCCACTGTTCATTCCCCTGTGACTCCTTAAGATCTGAATGTGGCTCTCCGCACTTCATAAACTGCCCTTTTGAACCCTTTAGAGCATTACTGTTTCTGAGGTCTCTTGGTATTTGTTTACTGTGTTGCTGATCCCCCTAGTTGGACTGCTTTTAAACATACCAAAGCGTTACGACTTTCTATGTCCTTAGGTAGACGTGAAAGAAAATAATAGGATTTTAGCATTCACTGTAAAATCCTTTTTTTTTGTCAGTTTCTAATCCTCCTATAGGTTTCAGACTTTCTGCGTCCCTCAGTGGAAGATGAGGTTTTTATGGATTTTTATTTATTTTCATTTTAGATCGTGTTGAGGTGCTAGAACCAATATCAGGTTTTTATTGCTGTGTCCACACTGGGGAGAGTCACCCTCCATGTTTGCTCTGATGACCATTGTCACTGGGTCCGAAAGTGAAAAAATTTGTTGTCACTGAAACAGGAATAGAAGAGGAATCTACAGGAATAGAAGAGGAATCTACAATCTGTCTGAGAGGACTTACTGTACCTTACTTGAAGGAGAATCTCCTCAATGGGACAAAAAAAAATCAAACCTTGTCTGGGGTTTTAATCAGGCCCTGATCCATCCAAAATAAACAGTTTTTAGATAGGCTTTAAATATACTTTACTAGCAGTTTGGTTATGTAATGCTTTCTTGAGTGTCTGTTGTAAGCATTGAGCTCAGTTAGAAGACATATTTGTCTTACAGTTTGACACTTGTGTTTTGACAAGTATATAAAAGCAATGAGGAGGAATAATTATAATGCAGAAGCGGAGATACATATTATACACATGTCCATTCTTTATTTACTTCAAATTCTTTTTTTCATGGCCCTGGCAGTGGCTTTCAGAGTTTTTTTTTTTTTTTTTTTTTTAAACTGTCTTTTTTTTGGTTCCACTACTTTTGCATTCTTGTTTTACCAACATTTATTGTTAAGTGAGTATCTGTCCCAGTAATGTGCTAAGTTTGCAAGGGCGAGATTCTAAATGATCTCTTAGATCATTACCCTCCTGGTAGTCTGACAGCCTGGTGTAGAGCTGTGAACAGCAAACAGAACTGGCTAAGTGTGAGCATCGCAGTTACCGTACTTTATTCAGGTTATTCAGACGAGGTCTGAGTGTCTAAGACCATATTTTCATGGTATTTAAGCATTCTTAGCATTGTAAACATTAAACTTTTTCAGTATATAATTGCTAATCACAAAGCTAGAAATCCTTAAGGACTGATCAGGAGTAACTGAATCCACTCTAGAAAACATATGTTTTTACTTGTGAGCCTAGATATGTTTGGTTGCAATATGGTACTGCAATATGCTCCTCCTCATTGGTCTTTATACTGCCTTAATGACTATGATTGTATCTGTTATGATTTGTGATATAGCAGTATCTATAGGCGAGATTGAGATTTCCTACTTTCACTGTCAGATAAAGGACACTCCTTAAAGTGAACATGCCCTGGCCTAAAAAGTGTCTCATGTTAACAAGTGCTGGGCTTAGTCTTGATTTGCAGAGAAATTGAGGTCCTGTGCATGACCTGGGCATTTGAAGCACAGAGGGATCAGTTTAATACTACCACAGGTACATTTAGGAATAGCACTGTTGTTACCTTAGGCATTTTTTGGCTGTGTTAGGTCCACCTTAATGGAGGTTACCTTTTATTTGATTTTCCCATCTTTTTTTTTCTCCTTTCTTATCTTTCTTTCTGGTCCTCCTGCCGCCCTGAACTTTGTCCCCTTTCTTTCCGACTGCAGTATCTCCTTTTCTCTCCGAACTGGATCTTATTCTGCAGAGTGAGTTCCCAGGTTAGTTGTTTCTTTTGTGTGGGAACCGAACACCCGATGAGTGTATAAAGTAGCCATTGTATCATAATGTAGGTTTAGATGTCCTTATTACTTTTAAACATGTAGGTCACTTTCAAACATTTAGATTTGACCATATCGTGATTGTCTTTATTAACCAAATAAGAGGATGAAATATTTTGGTAGGACTACCTAGCTACTGTGGTTTATTCATAGATGTTGCCCACACATGGTAAATGTAGCTATTTTTTATGCTAAGTTATCTACAAAAAAATACAAGGACCATTTCCTGTAAACAAAAAAACAAAAAAGCGCTTTTCAAGTGCATTGAAGATGACATGTTTATGGAGATGTTTAGCATGCAAAATGTGCAAAAACTTTTACTATGGGCCGTTGAACCTTTATTCTGTTTGCCAACTCTTCTGTCTTTTTTTCCAGATGCAGATGGGCAAGGCAATGGGTCTACACCAGAAAATGGGGACCCCCAAGATAAAAAAGGTATTTATACAATTTTATTTGGTTTCTGTTTTCCTTCTTGTCCTTCATAGTGATTTACCTTTTATCTTTTGTCAACTTATTCTAAATGCGCACATTTGGTAAGAAAAAAAAACACATTTGGTGTGAAATTAACAATTTGTGTGCATGCCTGTGGACTAGTCAACCATATAAAACCTCTGCAAAACATTGGCCCATATGGAAGGGCGACACAAAAGAGACCAGTACTGAAAAATAACCATATGAAAGCATGTCTGGAATTTTTCAAATCTACGTGATCCAGTTGGGAAGTGTGAGAAAAGGTTCAGTGGTCAAATGAGTCCTTCAGGCAGCACTGGGTTCTGTGTGAGGTGCTTTCCAGACTATTTTTGTAAGAAATTAGCTGTGGAGCATTTATTATAGGTCCAGACCCCTGAATATTAAGCACTTTCCCTGTCTGACAACTCACTCTGTGAGCAGAATTGTCGGCCTCCTAGGCTGAGCACCACTTTATTTGTCTGAACCACTGGGCAATCCTTAAAATTCCCATTTTCTGCCAGTTCCTACCACGAAAGGGGTTAACGCTGAGGGATTGAACACTGACATTATCTGCTAGGTAGAGTGTTCCATGCATGCTCCACACGCTCTTTCCCACCATTCTGTGTTGTGAAAGCATCTTGCTCACTGCTGCTCCTGCTTTCAAAGAATCATGTGGAACTCTGCTCTTTGGTCCATTTTTTGCTGGCTGCATACAGTGACTGCAATTTATCTCTGGCCATCTGACTCTCCCCTGCTACCAGCGGTTCAGTTTTGTGCATATATGATGTCTTGCCTTGTACCCTGAACTTTATGTTGCCCTACTACCAGCAGCCTCAAAATGTCTGATTCTACTCAAAGGACACTCCCAGTGTACTGGGGGCCCCCCGCTCTCACTCCACTAATGCTCCAGAGCCGCTTGCTGTATGCCTACTGATGGTGCTGACCTCTGCAGCTTGGAGTCTAATCTTTAGAGTCATCCGTTGCTCCGTCCTGTGTGGCCAGCTTCTCTGCCTTCATTGCAAGAGGATTTTGCTATGGTCATGCATGGCCTTGTTGCCCAAATCTCCCAGTTTGCCACAAGCATGCTTCAATGCCTTCCCCTGCAAATTCTGTATCTGCTCTGTCCATAGCTTCTGAGTCATCAGCTGCTTAGACTCTGTCTGATTCTGAGTCACTCCAGTCCTTGCCATTACTCTAAAATTGACAGAGACTGTTTTGGCTCTTATTTATGTAGTGCACACCCGTCTGAAACTAGAGGATTAACCTGTTGCTTCTACCAGTGTTGTTTCCAGTCTTGGGTTCTTTAGGGTCCCTGAAATCACAAAGACTTGCTGTTTAAAGTCTTCCTCTATGGTGATTGGAAACATCCTGACAAGATGTTTGCTCCCCCAAGCTGTTATTAGCCTTGTAGCTGAAAGGGACTTTGTTAAGAAATGGTCTGCTCCCACTGTGGATACGGCAGGGTCCTGCCTCAACAAAGTGACTACCATTCCAGTGAAGGATGCACCTGTCTTTAAGGTCCCAGCAAGTAAGTGAGTGCAAGCTCTCTCCAGTGCCCTGTTGTCTATGGCAGATCCTGCTCTTTAGCCTGTCTTAGCTGTGACTTTCTTTTCCAAACACTGTCTGACTGATCAAGTCTAAAAAGTCTCTGCTGCAGTTTATCCCTTGATCACAGAAGGTTTGAAGCAAATTATTGTAGCTTTCAGCTACAGTTGTGACAGGCTGCTGGTGGTTTCCCGTCTCATTTCTCGCATAGTTCTCCTATCCATACGCATACGGAGGACATTTTGACTAAATGCTGGACTGCGGAACCTGAATCAAAGATGTGCTTGATTTGCATGGCCTTTGAGGATTACGGCCTCTTGGATCTACTCTGGATACCATTATCAAATGACTGTCCAGACATTGCAACAGTTCAGATGGATCCTTCAGAAGTCAGCACTAGAACATATTTATGGATCTAGATGTATCTGGGTCTAGTCCCAAATACACTTCACTACTTCGAGGTAGTTTCACTCCAAACCCCTACAATGCAATATTCTGTTTTGGTAAGGCATGTCAGTCTGGATAGACCAATTCGTTGGCACCAACTACCAGGTTGTCCTTGGCTTAGTGGCTGCAGAATCTGGCTCTGGAATCAGAAATGTCCTTTGTTTTTTTTGGAGGAGCCACATGGCCGGTGCCAGCCTTTTGGGCTGGGGAGGAGTCCTGTGCATCCTATTGGATGTTGGAGGACTCTTGTCTCCAGATCAACATTCTGTAACTTCATCATTTGGACTTTGCCACGGCAGTGTGTTATATCAACCATCAGGGAGAAACAAGAAGTCTCGCCAAAGCAAAGGCGGTAGTGCGTATCCTGTCCTGAGCAGAACTTTACGTTCCAGTCTTGTCCATTTACATTCAATGCATACACAATTTCCAGGCAGTCTTCCACAGCAAGCAGCTGTGCCACAGGTAGGGAATGCAGGATGTGGATCTCCTAGCCTCCAAGTTTATCAACAAGCTGGACAGGTTTGTCTCCAGGTACAGGGATCCTCTAGTGAAAGCTCTAGTGGCAGAGCCTGCTTCCCAGGATTGAGATGGAGAACAATCAAGTGATCCTCCTTATTCCATATTGACCCAGGTAGATGTGGTACTCCGACCTGATAAGACTCCTAATAGACACTCCGTGGCTTTTCCAGATTAGCCTACACCTCTGTCAGCTGAGTGTCTGAGCTTGCATCTTTATCCTGTAAAGAACCTTTTCTGGTTCCACACAAGGACAAGACAGTGTTAGGGCCCCAAACTTCCTACCTAATGTAGTGTAGACCGTGCACCTCAATGAGGACATTGTTTTCTGTCCCTCTGTTCAGCTTCAGTTTCCCTCCGTTGCCTGGATGTGGTTTGAGCTGCAAGAGTGTCTTATCTTCTGCTTCCTTCAAAAAGAAGGAAGGTGCTTCACACTCCACCATCTCTCCGTGGGCCAAACAGACCATTTTTAAAGCTTATGGTCTCAAGGCTTGGGTTCCACCCCTCCTGTCAAGGCATACTCTGCTAGATCTGTGAGTGTTTCTTGGGCTATTTATGGATCAGACTACTGTTTCCCATATTTGCAAGGCCTGGTCTTCTGCTCACATTTACCCTGCGGTTCTACCAGGTGGATGTTCAGGTCTAATCTGATGCCAGCTTTGGGTGTGAGGTCCTTCAGGTAGCTCTATGAGTGTCATGTAGTCCCCAGCTCTGTTGTTTGTTTTTTTTCTTGGGTCTGTTAACATTGGTTTGCTGTGTTGCCCTCACCTTAGTTGAATGCCCAAAGGTAAAAGACTTTCTGTGTCCCTCAATGGATGAGAAAGAAAGTAAGATTTTTGTACTCGCTGTAAAATCCTTTTCTTGGAGTCCATTAAGGGACACAAGTCTCACCCTCTGTGTTTATGATCATGCTCTCTGTACTGCTTTGCTACACAACTGAGGCAAGCTGGTAGTAGGAGGGGTGACCATGGGCTTCAGTTTTTTTGTTTCTTTTGTTTGCCAGTCCAATCCTCCTGTAGGCAGCAGTATAACCTGAAGGAGAAATACTTCCTGTGAAATGGAATGGATTCCAAGAAAAGGATTTTATGGCGAGTGTAACATTTATGTTATCTGCACCATAGATTAAAGTGAAGCGTGGCGATGGTAGCATTATACTATGAGGTTGCTTTTGAATTGGCTGTTATTAAAATAGAAGGATGTGTGGTGGTTATTACAGGGGAATACTGCATGAAAACCTATTTCCGTGTGCTAAAAAAAACTAAGTGAAGCTTGGGCAGAAGTTGTTCTTTTACCAAGACTTTGATCCTAAACACCAGGCCAAAACATTGGAGTGGCACTGGAACAAAAGGTGAATGCCCTGCAATGGTTTGCCAAACCCATAACTCAGTCCAACGCAGAATCTTTGGCATTTTTTCAAAATATGCAGCAGTGTCACCGCTAGCCGGAACAACCGGGAGCAAAACTGGCTGAAAGAATGGGCCAAAGTAATTGAACTCTTATCCCAAAAAACTTTAGGTGAAACTGTTAGCCATTTTGAGCATCCAAAAGTCCTGCCCAAGACCAGGAACCACATAATTCTACAGTTGACCTGATTTTAATAATAATTTCCATGTTTCAGAGGAGAAAACAAACCATGCTCCTGACTACAAGTATTACTTGCGGATGTGGGCCAGTGAGAAAGAGCAGAGGAAAGAGACTATAAAGGACGTGCCTAAAATGAATCAGGTAAATATAAAAGTTATTCTTGGATCAATACAGAGTTTTTAAAGGGAAACTAACTGCAAAGACTAACTGCCCTTCTCTTCTAAAATACATTTTAGTTTTCTGGCTGTCTCTGGCTACAATATTTTCTAGGTCACTGAGCCACAAAAAAAAAGTCAGTGACTCAGAACGTATCAAATCCAGCATTTTCTGAGGGAGGTCAGCAGTGGCAGCTTACATATTTCTCAGTTTAGAATCCATTTAACTTTTCCCAAAAAAGCTAGCTGAAACCGCGCGTGCAAATTCACAGAAACGATGCCCGCTTAGTCTGGACAGGGCCTACGAGACTCCTCCCCAATGTCCCTATGTCTGTCTGTGAGGAGAAAGAGATTCAATCTGTTAAAGAAAAAAGAAAGATGGATAGCATTAGGGACAGTGTTAGTAGCACTGCTAGTGTCAGTGTGTTTTAGATAGTATTAAAAAAACAAAAAAGTTTTTTATCTGATGCCCGTGCCAGTGCCCGTGCCAGTGTTAGTGTCTGTTTTTGGTAGGATAAATACATTACAAAATGCACACTATTTTTATGGGCCCTACTTACAGGTGCACACAACAAATAATGCACAGGTATGTGATATTGATGTAAATGTCAGGATTAGGAGAATGTGTTTGGGGTTTTTGGTGGCAGGTCATTTTCATAACAAGAAATATACAGCTTATTAGTTAAAAAATTACAATTATTTTTTGGGGCCAGTTTTCCTTTGTTATTAAAAGAAAAATGTAGACATCCATTTAACACCTGAATATACCAAGTTCTTGTTTCTCAACTGGTGGGCCATGACCCTGTGTTCAGTGGGTCCCCATGTGCCTTCCACTTTTCTAGGTGAGAGGCTCCTCTGCCTTCCTCTAGCGCAGCACTGTCTGTTCTCTGGCCAAGCAGCCATTCAAAATATGTTGCTCAGCACTGAGTGTGAGCTTGAGGTGGGGTAGGCTGGGGCTATGGCCTTGAGGGAGCTTAATCCATATGTGCATCGCTTACGGCTCCCTCCTGTGTCCTGTAGAGGTGCCGGGACCGGAGTGGCGTCACATTCTGGCTCCCTGCACCTCTACAGGGTGCGAAAGGGAGCTGTGCAAGCAATGCACATATATGGATGGAGCTTCAGCACAGCAGCTCTCACTGGACCCCAGGCTGAGGATCCACTCCAGTACTCATAAGGCAGGGAGAATAGGTGAGAATGTCTGTTAGTCTGTGAAATTCTGTCTGTGTATGTTTGTCAGTGTTTTTGAGGGCCTGTTCACACTAGTACAGTGCTTTAAACTGTACCACGCAATCGCACCTACCTTGCATTCTGGTGTGGGAGGTGTGTTGCGTTGCCATTCATTCGAATAGTACCCCAAACGCACCTCGCACCCACAGTTTGTACGCCCGCACCAGAACGCACAGTACCCTAATGCCGTGCGTTTCATTGCTGTGCGACTTGGGTCATGGCTTAATGGCCAAGGACAAATCTGGGTCCTGAGGTTACACAGGTTGAGAACCAATGCACTAAGTAGTTCCAGAGATTTGTACAGTTTTACTAATATATGACAAAGTTGCAAAACTAAGTTAAGGGGGTTAAAGAAAAAAATAGATAAATATATGAGAGAGAATATATATGTGCGTGTGTGCGTGCCTGCGTGCATGCATAATATTTATATACTCATTACACATGCATAATAGTGCTGCACAAGTCCAGGGTTCAGGTCTAACCTGTCATGGGAACCTCGCAAACAATAAAGAGAAGTTTAATGGCTATGTAACAATTGTTTTGGCAAGTAATGCATGCGGGTCAAGTTTGTGAATCAATCCATAAGTGTGTTTTCTGAGATTTCATTGGTATCCTTTGACATCATATTAAGACTAAACTTTTTTCCGAATGTAAAGCTTTTTGGTTTGTACTAACCACAAATAAATCTTTTCTATTACGAAGGAACAATTTATCGAGCTATGCAAGACTTTCTACAACATGTTCAGTGAGGATCCAGTTGAACAAGAACTCTACCACGCAATAGCGACAGTTGCCAGTCTCCTTCTACGTATTGGCGAGGTGGGGAAAAAGTTCACCAATCCTCCTCTGAGGAATTCAGAGGATACACAGGCAAATGTCTCCAGGGAGCCCTCAAGCGAAGAGGAGGAGCCTAATTCCAGCCTGGAGAACAGGCAGTCGAGGGCTACTGAACAGGATCAATCCACTGGCGCCATCCCAGTTCCTGGCAACTCCCAGTCAGGGCATATGCAAGAAGACTTTCAGAAACTGACAATTGAAAGTGAAAATCAAGAAAGAAACAGCCCGCCCACTCAGCCCACCTCAGACGACGAAACCAAGGATGACACCTCAGTCTCCTCCTACTCCATGGTTAGCGCCAGTTCCCTTCAGTGTGAGGATATTGCAGACGACACAGTGTTAGTTGGGTGTGAAGCTGGCAACGCCACCCCCAAATACGGCAGCACCATCGATGCCGAATGGTCTATCTCTTTCGAACAGATTCTGGCTTCCGTGTTGACCGAACCAGCCTTGGTCAGCTACTTTGAGAAGAAAGTGGACATTGTTCAGAAAATGAAGCAGAAGAAAGTTGAAAGACAAATCAGTTCCTCCAGCGAGTATGAACTCTCTTCTGTCTCGGGATGAAATCTGCTTCTAAATGATTCAGAAGCTTGTGACTAATTTATGGGATTGCTCCATCCAGAATGGAGCTCAGTTTTGGGTAGATGTTGAGAAGTTGAATTGCACATGATATTGAGGCCTTAGTAGCAAACTATCCATATCTGAATCCTCACTCTCTTGGCCAATATGGGGGGGGTCTCGCTTTTCTTATTGGATGGTTCAATTTATGGGGTAAGCAGCAGGAGGAATGAGGCCATATGATTGGGGGAGGCAGATTGAGGAATTCCAACAAAAAGAGCAGTCTCCAAGAGATGACGGTGATTTAACCCACAACAACTACTCAAAACTGACATCATTTTTGCATGGAATGACCCTTCAATCAGAAGACAGCAATTGTTTTCACTAACCTGTTACCATTTCAGCTGCTCCTAGCTCCAGATTTTGTGCACTTTCCACCAGTAGCCCCTGCAACGCTTCAGGAAAGCACCGCTAGTCAAAATAATCCTGCACTGCAGAATAACGTACCTGCAGCCTACACCTCCGCATGCTTATCTCCTCTGATTATTTTAATGAATGGTTTTATACTCCTCCTATATGCAACAACATATCACTAAGTGTGTGCTTGGCTGCTCCTAGCAAGAGTTCTCCTGTCATGTGGAACTTACAGCAACACGCGGCACTGGTGTTCCACCGTGCGATAACATGGAGTAACCGTTGCCTTTTCTTCTGATGACTCTTTGCTTGTCTGTTTTGTGCCTAAGTTCTGTACTGTAGAATCCCGTTTCTGCTACCAAAGTGAAGCCAGTCAGTACTGTGTCATAGGCATGTAGCTAAAGTGCAATATATTGGTATACAGAATAGTATCCCTTTTTCTTTTGGTTTTGTTTTGTTTTGTTTGTTTTTTAACTTCCCAATGCATTGTATGTCATTGAGTTACTTGCTCATCTCTCTTCTGTTTTTCCCCTTTTCTTTCACATATATTTGTTTTCAAGATTTGTGCCTGTATCGCTGTGACCTTTCCATGAATATGTTTGGTTTTTTTCTTCCTTTTTACGTTTAGTAACTACTCATGTACACTAGATACAGCCATCATGTTTGCATAATGCATTATGCTGCTGCTGCTGCTAAATTACTTTATTTGTAACATTTCTCTTATCTCCTTTTTTTTCTTTTCTTTCAATCATCTTTATTTAAATGATTTTGTCATCACATTCCATTTCTACAGCGGAATACTCACATTTACTTGTAATATATAGCTAGGTCTAAGAACAGGGATTGCTTACGCTGAGAGAATGGGTTTATGAAAATCAATTTAAGAAACAAATCCATCATGTTCAAAAGATAAAAGCAGTTGAACCTTTTTCTATTTGGTGAAAAATGCAGTCACCTCTATCAACCAGTTGGGCTCCTATTCATTTGGCTACACTACGCTGAAATGTGGTTGCTATTGGTTACTACTAGGGATGCACCGATACTTATACTCGCCCAAATGCTCCGATACCGGAACTTCCAATCAGAGGGAGATCTTCCGATCAGAGGGAGCATGGACCCGGCTACCTTTCCAATCAGAAAGCTTTGCGGTGGGTTATGACCCGCCTCCCGGCTTCCAGATTGGCTAGGAAGCCAGCTTCACTTGTTGCTAGGCAGCCTGGCTTCCTAACCAATCAGGAAGCCGGGCGGCATGTAATGACCCACCTCCCGGCTTCCTGATTGGTCAGGAAGCCAGGCTACATAGGAACATGTGAAGCTGGCTTCCTAGGCAATCCGGGAGGCGGGTCATATGGTGCTGCCTGGCTTTCTGATTGGTTAGGAAGCCAGGCTACTTACCAACAAGGGAATCTGGCTTCCTAGCCAATCAGGAAGCCAGACAGCACGTCATGACTCGCGTCCCGGCTTCCTGATTGGTCAGGAACCCACACTACCCAGCAACAAGTGACGCCAGCTTCCTAGCCAATCAAGAAGCTGGGAGGCGGATCATGACGTGCTGCCCAGCTTCCTGACTGGCTAGGAAGCCAGCTTCACTAGTTGCTAGACAGCCTGGCTTCCTGACACATCAGGAACCTGGACGGCACCTCATGACTCGCCACCCGGTTTCCTGATTGGTCAGGAAGCCAGGCAGCCTCTGCAAGTAAAGCCGGTTTTCTTTCGCTAGAACACCGGCTTTACAGGCAATCGGGAAGCTGGGCGACAGGTCATGATAATATGGGCACACGGCACCGGTACTTTGTATTGGCAAGTACCGAAAAATACATTTCGGTACGCGATACCGAAAAAACGGTACCAGTGCATCCCTAGTTACTAACTTGCACTACACTTATTAAATAGCAGGTTACAGTAACACTCTCATGAGAGAAATAGAAAAGCTGCTTTTGCTAACCAGCTTTAAAAACTGCTGATCTGGCTCCAGCACATTCAGAGTCATTGACCCAGAATAAGTATGCAGGTCAGAGAACTGGCATTTTTAGAAGCAGAGGTTGGCAGTAGTAGTCTATGTTTCTCTGTAGGCAGGTCTCCTTCAATGTACTACATTATTAACGTGGAAATAGTTTTCCTATAAGTGGAAGAAGCAGATCGGTGGTGAAATGAAGGTTATAGCAGCATAAACCAACACTGACTTACACAAGAAGACACTGTTATGTGACGGTACATATCTCCCTGTTTATACGATGGTCCTCCACATTGCCCCAGTTGCTTCCACTATTGAGAAGGCGAGTGTACCCATAAGCAGTGTATTGGGGCTTCAGAGGCGCTCTGCAGAGCCAGTATAGAACAGCGGAGGTTTGTACTAGCACCTTCTAGTACCTGATCCTGTATGCAAGTGTTATCACTACAGGTCTACTTTAAGCCATGTAAAAACTGGCTTTGGCTTATAGCGACAGTCAGCCCTCATATTATGGGATATCTTGCTTTCCGAGATATAAGAAGTCAAGGAATGGCTTAACCCATCAGACAACACTATATCACTTTTGGGTGGACTGACCCTGTATAACAAACCTGTGTTACACTAATCTTATGTGTTTCTAATCCAGTACCTGGAGAGTACAAGTACTTCTTTGTAGGTGCCTCTGCAGTTCCCCAAGAACCACAGGGTTTTCCACCTTCTGGGTTTTCATCAGACACCACATTCCCACAATGCAAATCGGGTGTCTCGGGAACTAATCAAGAGGTGCTTGCTTTCTATCATGGAACATAATGGGCTCATACCTGTGTTTGGCTTTCAGAAAAGTCAAAAGTTTGCATGGAACTGGATAGTATTTGTGCACAAGGGATGAGGTTAGTTGCCCAAAGTACAGGTACACACTGAATAAGAGGCATAAGCTGCAATTACCGTAACAATTTGTTCTACCTTCTTTGCTTTTTCCACTTCAGGAAGCTCTCTAAACACTGTACATACCTAGTTAATAAAAAAAAACAAAAAAACTGCACTTTAATAGTCAAACCAAAAATGTACACGATTAGTATTATTTATATGTGTACTTGTAAAAGTTCCCATGAGATGTCCAAATTAATTAGGGGTTCATTTTTGAAACTTTGAATGGAACGTCTTATTACATATATCAAACTTCTAATGACTTCTCCCATAACAGAAATAGCTTAGAAGATGAGATGTCCATCGGGCTGATGTTACAGCATGTTTCTTTTTTTTGTACCATTTTATAATGTCCCCGCGTTTGTTTGACACTAGTAAGGTATTAAAGACGCACTGTCAATGTGACCATTTAGAACGAAGTGACAGCGCTTCCTGATAGTCAACCCTGCCGGCAAGGTATACTCTCCTATCCATGCACCCTCCCCAGTCCCATCAGAGCCCTTGCTTCGTTAGTAGCGGAGCTTCCAGATATAGGGGAGCATATAACCTCCTCTGTTACCGTGCTCGAGCCTGACTGGTCAATTCCCAGACCAAAACACTGCCTTGTAGGAAGGAAGTAGCATCATGCTTGCACTATTAGGAGGCACTGTCAGCTTGCTGTGAATGGGCAGGTGACAGTGTCTCTCTAAGTAGATGTCTTCTATGTTCTGCTCTTCTTATAGTTCATACCAAATGAGACCAGCAAGTGGAAATGGGGTTGTTATGGATTACTGCATTTGTTAATCATCTTTGCCTCATTAAATAATGTGTATCCCCACCCAAAATATTTTCTTTACATTTTGGATTGAGTGGAGGAGGTTTTAAAAACTGCTAGGAATGTCATACTGTCCTCAATACATTTACTTGAGGAAATTGGTAATGACTCTTAATACCTAGACTGGAAATCTCCCCACAATAGCAAAAACAGCTGAGGTTCTAACCTTTTCCCACTCTACCAAAACCTACAACTAAAAAATGTCTGAAGTTCCACTTTAAGTGCATGTCTGTGGAAACCAACCAGTGATAATGTCGTCATATGTTTTCTGTATCCTACATGCATACAGATACAGACCCTTCCCCTTACAGTGATCACTGCCTTTCATTAGCCTTGATGTATGATTTACAGTATATATTCATGTGTTAGAATATTAACCATAGCTCATGTTATCACACTTGTTATGCCAAGAGGACCACTCTCACAATGTAGGGTTACATACCTAGATAACTGTGGTAGCCTTGGCCTCTTCTCTTGACAGTATCTTGGATAAAGCTTTTATAAGCCCTCTTCTGAGCTCACTGTGTGTTGTAAGATTATCATGTTACTTTTTGATGTTCATGGATTTAAATACTATATGTTGCTTCACCAGACACGTGACTGAGATTACACATTTCTTTCCTGTTAAACGCTATATGGTGTATGGACTTGTGTGTTTATCTTTATTCTAGATGGCAACAATGGCTAACTTTGATCACAATATAATTTATTAATTTTTTTTTTTACCTTACTGAGATCATTATGTATGTTTTTAAATCACCCGATTGTCTTGTATTCAATACAAAAGATTGAAATAAACTTTGAATGGCTGTCATTTTCTTTCTTTTTTTTTTCCACCTTTCAAAGCACTGTGCTGAAAATAAAACGAATGAACAGTGTCTATGGATGTTTGTTACTCTATATAGAGCTGAAAAACCTATATATTCCCGATATTATGGCAAATCTTACTAGTCACAGGGCTTAATCTGTTTTGTACATTAGCGGTTCGCAGATATGGGATCGCTGATTTTATTAATAATGCTCCATTGATCCCCATGGAGCATCTGCTGATATTGTTCTCGCTCACAATCACATATACAGTGGTGCCTCGGTTCACGAAAGCTTCTGTTCGCAAACAATTCGGTTTGCGAATAGGAAGTTCGGCAAAATGTTGCTTCCGTTCACGAACTCTGCATCGGGTGATGAACACAATCGCAGCCATCTTCCCTGCTCTGACACATGGTCGTGGCTTCCTCTAGTCGAGTAGCAGCACTTCAATGTAAACATGAAAAAAAGTCTTATTTATTTAAGAGGTGCAACATATCGCATAGATGCAACCACCGTTTCACAGGTTCCCCACACAGGATCCCCTTCCTCAATGACGTGGCATAAGTACAAACAAAAACCTACATAGCAACCACGCACAGTGAAAGAGCCAATCAGCAAGAATCTTATGACCCAGTGACGTCATGTATGAGGTCACATTCCCGCCAGGACAGAGTTCAAATTGCAGAGGTAAACATTCCAGAGGTAAACACAGGCATAGTCAGGAAACATCCACAGGATGTTTCCTACACATAACACTTAGATCGCACTCTAGCGCATGTGGATGTTTCCTGACTATGCCTGTGTTTACCTCTGCAATTTGAACTTACATTGGATTGCCGGTGTCCCTGCTTCTACTGTTATATGACGGTTGCCATCTGTCGATCACTGCAGCACCCATCTGATTTCGTTTGGAGACGATGGTTCATGGATCTTCCTCTAGTCGAGATCGCAGTCTGATCACAGTTTAATTCGGTTCGCGACCAGAAGCCAGGTGGCGAGTCTTTAGATGCCGTCTGGCTTTTTTAATGGGACTGTCAGTATCGGCAAGTACCGAAATAAAAATATCGGTACTCGATACAGAAAAACCGGTATCAGTGCATTCCTACTTAAAACCCTCATGTCCAATTTACCCTCTATACCTGCCTCGGTGAAATGTAGACGCTCCCCCAAAGGCAGCAAATCTAGGCACAGAAATGTACCTTCATTTGCATACGGTTTACGATTTTGCCCCGTTCCTACATTCATCTTATTATAATTACTTTTTTGTGCTCTATAGTTAAAGTAAAGAATGGCTGCGGTAGAGTTACATATCCCAGCAATCTATACTTGTGTTTCTTTTGTCCCTGTAGAACCACAAGACGTTGCACTATATACCTGCATTGCTTTTCGATTTATAGAGTTACAAATCACTTAAATTTCTCCTGTTTCTAAAAAAGAGACGAGGAAGAGCGTGGGCATCAGATCACTGGAGGAGGGCACTGTGTTATGTAAATCTGTCATAAAGTGTAAATATGTTAATTCATTCTTGTACATTCTAGAAATAGCTCCGGAGGCTCCAAAAAATTAATTTCTGGTTTAAGATTTAAAAAAAGTGGCACCTAAACCTGCTAATGCTGAAACGGTGTATAAACACGGGTTCAGCACCATGGAGAGCAATTTCCAGCAGATTCGCCTGCAGGGATAAAAATAGTTTACAGCTTCTATACAAGTCAGGCCCTGTTCACACCAGGGCGTGGATTTTTCCGTGCTGAAACGGCGACATTTAAAAACCCATACATTCCTATGGGGACCGTTCACACAAACGCGCGAAACTGTGCGATACGAAACGTCTGTCGCACTGATCAGCGCGTTTTCCATATAGAAACGTGCTGATCAGCGTGTTTTGGGTGTTTTTAATCGCGTTTCATCACGGGAACGCGCAAAAACGGCCTTACAAAAATCACGCAGGAAATCTGCTGAAACACTGTCACCCTGGTGTGAATGGGGCCTAAAATCTAACAACTATATCAAAAAAGGGTGAATGTTAGCAGTTCACTAGGGAGGTGGTGACTGCCCCATGGCAGATAGGCAGCACAAAATCCCAGCACCCCTTCCTGGACACGGGCGGTGCCAAAGAGCCCGTTAAAAGAAGCTTGTCCAACATAGGTGCTGTGGTGATTATTTTAAGAAGCTATATAGAGCATCCTCCCACCAGCCTTGACCTGCATCAGCAGGCAGGGAGCTGAGCTGTAGCCGCCACTGAGTGAAGGAGGAGACAGTATCACAGTATTGTGTCTGGGCTCATTTGACCTTTTACATCACAGAATGGAAATGTAATCTCAGTTGAATTTACCATTAGGCACTGAAGGCTTCAGTCATTTTGTAACTTTTTTTTTTCATAGGCAGAAATACAATTGCCACAGTAAGTATACTAAGCCAGGTCAGAACCAATAAAACTAGAAAATGTTCTATGTGATAGAGATCATCCTAGCAGAGGGATGATCCTATGCAAGCTAGCTGTGTGCCTACAGGCTCCAGAGATGGATATCCAGCTCTGTGTAACCTCTAGACTTCATAGACTGCCAGAAAGCCTTAAATGTTCCCCTCCTTCATCCCACTCACACAGGTACTAAAGCAGCCTTCCTCAGAATGACACCACCAACGTGTACTTGATACACACTATATAAGGGAGGATTTGGTATCGTAATTCAGACCTGCATGCTCCCCTGAGGACGTTGATAGTGACGAAACGCGTAGGGGCGAGTCTATCATACCAAACCTGATAGTGTCAGGATCCAGAGCACCCCCAGGTGGTGCTGGAGCCAGGTCCTGCAGTTCCTGTGCTCGCCTGCGGGTGTCTCCAGCAGCCAGGGACTGTAAGGAACCTGCAGCTCCAGTACTCACCTGCGGGTGTGCCCCAGCTGTGACTGATCATCCCATCACCTGGTGCTTCCTGGGAGGGTATTTAGGCCCTCCCTGCAGTCAGGAAGCTGGGTCAGTATTGTGTTGCCTGCACTTGACTGATTCCCATAAACTTGAACCGTGCTTCCTGAAACCGTGCTTCCTGAAACCGTGCTTCCTGAAACCGTGCTTCCTGAAACCGTGCTTCCTATCTGCAGACCTGTCACCGACCCAGCTTGTTACCCGACCACTCTCTTGGATCCTGTTCCTGTACCGTGCCGCTGCCCTCCTGTTAACGACCTGGCTTGTACCTGACCACTCTTCTTTTATCCTGAGGCCTGCTATATATCTGCAGGCCTGTTACCCCTCCTTGTTGCTTCCCCCTGGCTGTAGGTGTGTGTTTGTCCCAACGGTGGGTTTATTACTTCACTGCTAAACCTCTGGGGGGTTGAGGGGGTTGTAGTTTTGTTGATGTGTAGCAAATAAACCGTGTGAATAGAACCCTATCCCGTGTGGGCATATTAATTTGGTCATCCTGCGTGGGTACCTGCATGTGGTGTGAGGACGCCTGTGCATGGTAGCCTGACAGATAGTTGTTGGACCGGCCGGACTTGTTTTATTGTACTGAAATTTTAAACTTACGAATAAACTACTCGTGGAAATGGCTACACTATGAAGGATTTTTTGTCTTTACATGAGTGAATGAACATTCTTTATTTTGGAGATCGACGGCATAGGAAGTGCCGGCAAAGATACCGGATTATCTTACTCCGGTAAACAAAACGTGTGGGGCTGTCTGTTACAGTCAGGAACCTGTGGTGAGTACGCACTTTGAGGGGATGTAGATTGGTAACAATACACTCCCCAAAATAAGCACTGTGTATGTCACTGAACACTTGGAAAGCTTTTTGGTCATTTTCACTCGAAACGGTTTGGAATATCACAGAGACTTTTTGTTTTCGTTTGTTAAATCTTTTTTCACAGAGGCAAATTATCACAGAGATCTGTAATTTGATTATTCTAAATTTTATTGAAGTTTACTTCACAGAAACACATCACCAAAAGACTTTTACACGAACCATTCATTTTATTCTTGAATATTTGTTTCAGTCACGTATGATAAGATTTATAGTATGATTTTTCCTTTGTAATGCAACGGTATGTGCAGAGGAGTGTGACACCAATTGTTTCTCACTTATAACTCGATATAACACAAAGTTTAAGTTATATGCAAAAAATTAGTTGATATATTCATTTATATATGTTTACACTGAGTAAGTACTATTCACAAATTGAACATTTAGCGCTGTATATTTAGTCAAATTTCATCTATTAGACCCTATGGGTCTATATTACAGCAGCTTTCAATCGGCACTATTTAAATCGTTTAGTAGTTTGAAGTCACTTAATAATTCTTTTCACCCCTCACTGATATATACATTATTGGTATATGTTCACTTGTTACTAATTATATCTTAGCGCTGCTCATCCAGTAAAACTGTTAAAAAACTACCTACTGTAAAGAAAATGTTGATCTTTCCTTTGATATTTATATAAATGATATACAAAGTATAAGCTGTCTCTTCAGAATAACATTTCACTGCAGTGTATTATTATTCACCCACAACTGAAAATGGAGCACAAGCATTTCAGATTTACACCATGGCTGGCTCGACCCCAGAGGCCCTCTTCTTGAGCCTGGAACATTGTCCTGAAATTTGGTTGCCCTGACAACAAATGCCAGTAGGTGAAAAAGCTCAGAGAAAGTAGCTTAGCTTAAATCAGCATGTAAGTTCCCAAGAACAAAACACCTCAGTTCAACTTCATTAACTTCAACACCAGATTGGTGAGTTCTGGTACTGGAATAGACAAGTTAATTTTCCATTATTTTTGGTAGGGATGCACTGATAGTGGTATAGGTGCCAATATTGGGCATTTTCACGAGTATACATACTGGTGAAAATGCCTCGATAGCAGTGCTTTAAATTTTGACACTGAAGCCGGCACTGTAAACAAGTGCCGGGCTTTACAGGAAGGCTGCCGAAATCACCAGCATTGTCCTGACAGCCTTCCGGTGAACCACGGTGCCTGTTTACAGCCACCAGCCATTAGACCAACT